AGAACAAAAATTTTTGAGCACACATGCAATATTTCAAAAAGTTGGTCATGTATTAGGAAACAAAGCAAATCTTAATTAGTCAATATCAGAGAGTACATTTTTTACTATAATGCAAAAAGAGGAAGTCAATTAAAAATTTCCTCTTAGATTAATAATTTAAAAACACACTTCTAATTAACATGAGTCAAAAATAGAGTGGAAATTAGAATATATTTACAAGAGGATGATAACAGAACACAGCTAATGCAGTTCTGAAAGGGAATTTATGGTCTTCACATGGTTATATTAGAAAAGAAGACTGCAAATTTGCTAAGCATCCAACCTCAGTGATTAGGGAAATAAACAAAAGCAAGGCAATAAACACATGTAATAGCTTTTACAGTGTTACCCCAATATGCCAAGGTTGCATATCTCTGGTTAGGGCACATACAAGAATCAACCAATGAATGCATCAATAAGTGGAAAAATACAATGATGCTTCTATCTCTTTCTATCTTTCAAATCAACTTAAAATAAAATGTATCAATAAAATGTATCAAGCCAAAACCGGTTTGGCTCAGTGGATAGAGCGTCGGCCTCCGGACTGAAAGGTCCCAGGTTCGATTCCGGCCAAGGGCATGTACCTGGGTTGCGGGCACATCCCCAGTAGGAGATGTGCTGGAGGCAGCTGATCGATGTTTCTCTCTCATCGATGTTTCTAACTCTCTATCTCTCTCCCTTCCTCTCTGTAAAAAATCAATAAAATATATATAAAAAAATAAAATGTATCAAATAGAAAATAAAGATAAATTAAGGGGCATTACAATGCTCAAAATTTGCTATTTGAAAATAACAATAAAACAAAGAACATTTTGTATGATTGATCAAGAAAGCAAGAGAAGATACAAAGATATAGATTAAAAATAAAGGTCAGATAACATTATGGATATATCAGAAATTTTAAATCATAAGAGAATATTATTCAAAAATGTTTTATGCTAATAAATTTGAAAAACATATACAAAACAATTTTCTAGGAAGTTATAACTTACTAAAATGGACTCAAGAAAGAATAGAAACCTGAATAGACAACTAATCATTCAATAAACAGAATACATAGTTTAAAATACTATGCAGGTTTCTTTCTTCAGCCTCAGTTCAGTCACATGTTCTTAGGAATTTCAGGGATGCCACAATTCTGATTGCTTTGCTTTGGCATACTACTCATATCTTGTACGAGGGGTAGGGCAATTATGTAAATGGCACTCATTTTGTGTCAGACTCTCCTTTGGTATATACGTTAAAAAGTATATCAGATGTGGTCCCTACTCTGAGGAGCTCCCAGTCTATTGGACGTTCAAATAAATTCACCAATAATGTAAGAAAGCTAAAAACAGCAGTGTGGGACAATTCTTGATACAGGGTAAAACTGAATATAGCTCTCTCTCTTTTTTTAATATATTTATTGATTTTTTACAGAGAGGAAGGGAGAGGGATAGAGAGTTGGAAACATCGATGAGAGAGAAACATCGATCAGTTGCCTCCTGCACACTCCCCACTGGGTATGTGCCTGCAACCAAAGTACATGCCCTTGACTGGAATCGAACCTGGGACCCTTGAGTCTGCAGGCCGATACTCTATCCACTGAGCCAAACCGGTCAGGGCTGGATATAGCTCTCTTTGATTTGCCAATAGACATCATAGTGTTGGAAGTGAAGGGGGCACACTTTATTTTTTTATTAATTCATTTAAGATTTTAAAGATTTTATTTGGAGCTTGGCTGGTGTTGTTCAGTGGTTGAGCATCAACTTATGAACCAAGAAGTCATGGTTTGATTTCCAGTCAGGGCACATGCCCAGGTTGCGGGCTCAATTCCTAGTGGAGGGCATGCAGGAGGCATCTAATCAATGGTGATGTTCCTGTTTGAGATACACACACACACACACACACACACACACACACACACACCACACACACCACACACACCACACACACACACTGAGTAGCCAGATTTAATATGACCACCTAACGTTTGTAGGCAAATAAGCTATAATTTTGCATTGAAGTTGCTAGAGGGCCAGACCATTATAAACCTCTGAATAGCACAGCATACCTAAGTATCATTGCTTATCAAGTTCATCCTGTCATGTTGATGGCATATCCCAATGGAGATGGCTTCTTCCAACAATACAATGCACCATGCCATGGGGCTTGCATTGTGCAGGAGTGGTTTCAAGAACATGAGGGAGACTTTACCTTGCTTAGGTGGCCCCCACAATCACCAGATCTCAATCTAATTGAGCATTTGTGGGACGAAGTTAAAAGAGCCATTAGGCAGCTGGTTCCACAACCATCAAACCTCACAGAACTGGACAGTGCTATTCATCAGGCATGGTGTCAGATTCCTCGCATCACCTTTCAACATCTCCTGGAGTCAATGCCAAAAAGAATTGCCGCAGTACTGAAGGCAAAAGGTGGCCCAATAAAGTACTGATGGGGTGGGTGGTCATAATAATATGGCCAATCATAATAATCTGGCCACTCATTGTGTGTGTGTGTGTGTGTGTGTGTGTGTGTGTGTGTGTGTATCTCCTATCTAATAATAGAGAAACATGGTAATTAACCATAACTTCGCTACCCTTCCCATTGGCTAATCAGCGAGATATGCAAATGAACTGCCAACTAAGATGGCGGCCGGCAGCCAGGCAGCTGAAGCGAAGAGAAGGCTTGCTTGCTCCAGAGAAGGAGGAAGCCAAGGTTCCCCTCCTGCTGCTGCTGGGCTCTGAGCTTGCACTCTAAGAAACAATGTTGCAATTATAGAAGCTAAACAAACTCCAGAAACCTGCTTCCAGCCATCAGAGCTGAAGCTGCAACAGAATTTCAATTCTAGAAGCCAAACAAAGCCAGATACCTGCTTTCAGCAGCTGAGGCCTCAGAGCTACAGCCAGGCCTCAGAGCTAAAGCCGGCTCTCAAAAGTGACAGCCATAGAAGGTAAATAAATCCCAGAATAAAAAAAAAGAAAAGAAAAAAAGGAGAGGTTGGGAGCTTCAGTCACCCGCCAGCCTGAAAACGGCCCTCAGCCCCTCACCCAGACTGGCCAAGCACCCCAGTGGGGACCCCCACCCTGAAGGGGGTGCGACCAGCTGCAAACAGCCATCAGCCCCTCACCCAGGCTCGCCAGGCACCCAAGCGGGACCCCCACCATGATCTGGGACACCCTTCAGGGCAAACCAGCCAGCCCCCACCCATGCACCAGGCCTCTATCCTATATAGTAAAAGGGTAATATGCAAACTGACCCTAACAGCAGGACTGGGAATGAATGGTCACTATGACACACACTGACCACCAGGGGTCAGACACTCAATGCAGGAGCTGCCCTCTGGTGGTCAGGGTGCTCTCACATGGGAGGATCTCTGCTCAGCCACAAGCCAGGCTGATGGTTGCCAGTACAGTGGTGGTGGTGGGAGCCTCTCCTGCCTCCTCAGCAGCACTAAGGGTGTCCAACTGCAGCTTAGGCCTGTTCCTTGCTGGCAAGTGGACATCCCACGAGGGCTGCCGGGCTGCCAGAGGGATGTCTGATTGCCATCTTAGGCCCAATCCCTGGGGGAGCGGGCCTAAGCCAGCAGGTGGTCATCCCCTGAGGGGTCCCAGACTGCGAGAGGGCACAGGCCAGGCTGAGGGACCTCCCCTCCCCCCCCCCGAGTGCACAAATTTTTGTGCACCGGGCCACTAGTGTGTGTGTGTGTGTGTGTGTGTGTGTGTGTAAAGTTTATATATATATATTTAAAGTTTTTATTTGGAATTAATTTTAAATTAAAAAAAGTCACAATAACTATACAAGAGCTCTCGGAAAAATTATATAAATCCTACCCTACAATATGGACAATTGGATCCAATTCTACATCATGTGGAAGAGAGAGAACAGGTCATCAGAGTAAAGCCCTCTAAAAAATCATGTTCCCAGTTATCTTCTCACCAGGATTGGTTAGGGGAAGGTGATTACTTCATAACATTAGGAAAGTTTATTACCCTGTGCTACTTCTTGAATTTATACTTCTCCAGCTTTGGCTTTCTATCTTTCTGATTCAAAACTTTCTCAGCCCAGAACTGAAGAGACACTTTTGCAAAGGGGACATACAGATGTCCAACAAATATATGAGAATATATTTAACATTACTTATCACCAAAGAGATGCAAGTTAAAACCACAAAGAGATATCACCACACACCTGTCTAAATGGCTATTATCAATAAATCAACAAACAACAAGTGTTGGCAAGAATGTGGAAAAAAGGGAAGCCTTGTGCGCTGCTGATGGAAAGGCAGATTGGTGCAACCATTATGGAAAATAATATGGAGGGTCCTCAAAAATTAAAAATTGAACTGCCTCATGACCTAGTGATTCCACTACTGGACATATAACTGAAGAAACTTAAAACACTAATTTGAAAGAATATATACACCCCTATGTTCACTGAGCATTATTAAGATAGTCAAGATACAGAAGCCACATGAGTGTTCATCAATAGTCAAGTGGAGCCCTAGCTGATTTGGCTTACTGGATAGAGCGTAGGTCTTCGGACCAATGGGTCCCGCGTTTGATTCTGGTCAAAACCACATATCTCGGTTGCAGGCTCCTCCCCAGCCCAGGCCCTGGTCAGGGCTTGTGCAGGAGGCAACCAATCAATATGTTTATCTCAAATCAATGTTCCTCTCTGTCTTTCCCTCTCTCTTCCACTCTTCCCCCTCCCCCCAAAAAAAACAAAACACACACACACATAAAAAACACAAACACCAAAAAAAAATAAACACAAACAACAAAAAACAATGTAAAAATATCCTCTGGTGAGGATTAACAACAACAAGAAAAAACAAACAAAAGTAAACTGGATTAAAAAAGCAGCTAAAGCCTCCGACCGCCGTCCAGTCCACAAGCAAGAGGTTTTGCAAGGCTGCGCTCCTGCTCCCGCTCCCGCTCCCGCTCCCACACCCACACCCACACCCACACAGCGGAGGTGCCATGAGCGGCAGAACTGCCTTGAGCGAGTGCCAGTTCACCGCGTGCAGGAGCCTGCACCCCGACCACCTGTGGATCTGGCGGCCCAACGTGTATGTGGACGAGAATGACCGCACCTGGCTGCCCATCATCATGGAGACAGAAAGCAGCCTCCAAGTCCTCATGCGCCAGATCGAGGTCTCCCGCGGGGAGGCCATGCAGCCCAGCCGGCTGCCCCCCAGCATGCTGCCCCTCATGTGGCAGCTCTACCCTGGGAGGCGGTACCGCGCCTCCGACTCCAGCTTCTGGCGCATCGTGTACCACATCGAGATCAGTGGCGTCGAGGACATGGTCCTTGAGCAGCTGCCAGACCCATAGCGCAAGCCCCGCAAGCCCTGTGGTTCCTGTTCCTGTGCCCTGAGCCGCAGTCCCGCTGGCCTGCAGGGGGGATGTCCGTGCTTCTGTGTTCCTTTTTACCAGCCCTGTTGCTCTGTCTGCCACCCCTGCCGGAGGGCATGGCCTGCAGGGGATGAGCCCGCCCCCCACGGGAACCTGCCTGCAGCCCCTCCCTAGGCCTCCCAGGCAGATCAGCCTCGAGAGCGCCCGGCTCCAAGTGCCCAGGCCCTACCAGTCCCTGGTCTCTGAGATGCCTGCTGGTTTGTGGCCACACGCTCTCTCTGTGTCCCTCCCTCCCCAGTCATTCACGTTCTGTGCTACCCACGGGGATACTTCTCGTTCTCCTCCCTCCGCTCTGTGCGCCTCTGGCTGCCAGGCCACGGGGCCTACACACCTGAGCCCAGGCCAGGCCCCGAGCCCCTGAGGCAGCTCTCCCGTGGCGTGTGCCTGCTCGTGGCCATGCCTGCAAAGTCCCACCTGCCACGCAGGCTCACGTGCAGCTCATGGGAAGGCCTGGAGGAGCCGGGCTCCCTGCTCAGCACTCGGAAGCTTGTGGGTCAAGTGTCCACAGCCCCTGACCTCGCAGGAGGCCAGGCCGGCGAGCCCCCCTGTAGGACAGAGGTCAGGAGTCCCCCCTTTTATAGGCACCCACACCCCTGGATGTTAATGAGGTTGTATGTAGCATGAACACTTTGTAATACTGATCGATTAAATGTAAGACAACTCAAAAAAAAAAAAGCAGCCATATATATATATATATATATATATATATATATATATATATATAGTGGAATATTACTTGCCATGAAAAATAATGAAATATTCCTATTTGCAACAGCATGGATAGACCTAGAAGGTGCTATGCTAAGTGAAATACATCAGTTAGAGAAAGACAAATACTATATAATTTCACTTATATGTAAAATCTAAAGAACAAAATAAAAAAAGAGAAATAGATACAGACTCACATATAGAGCAGGTTTCCAGGTTGGAAGGGGTTTGGGGACTAGGTGAAAAAGGACAATTACAGATGGGTAGTTATAAAATAGTCATCTATATATAAAAGCCTAAGCAACCATCTGACCATCCAACCGGTAGCTATGATGTGCACTGAACACCACTGGGTAGACGCTCAATGCAGGAGCTGCTGAGCTGTGGCGACTTGGCAGCTGCAGTTCTCAGGTGACGCACATGGAACCAGAGAGGAGGGAGCCTGATTCCAGGTGCGTCACCAAGAACCACCCTCTTGCAATCTGGGCCCCTCAGGGGATGTCAGAGAGCTGGTTTTGGCCCAATCCCGCAGGCCAGGTCAAGGGACCCCACCTATGCACGATTCCATGCACTGGGCTTCTAGTAGGAATATAAAGTACAGCACAGGGAATGTAGTTAATAAAATTGTTATAACTATGTATGGGGCCAGGTGGGTACTGGAAATATCAGGGAGAATACTTTGTAAAATATATGCTGATTTAGCCACTATGCTATACACCCGGAACTAACACAAAATGATATTAAATGTAAACTGTAATTGAAAAGCAAAATAAATAAATAAATAAATAAATAAATAAATAAATAAATAAATAAATAAATAAAACAACAACATTCTCAGCCCAAGATGTCTCTGGGAGTTTCTAAGAAGTGTCCCATTGATTGTGAAGGGTCCTCAAATTTAGTGCCATGCACAGTCAAATGAAGAGGAAATCACATTTCTCTTTTTGCACTGGTTTTTAAATGCCCTTTTCCAACAGGTAGATTCTGAAATTAGTTTGATTCACAAATTGTACTCTTGGAAAAATGTCTTTCATGAGATTATTTATTGAAGGGACCATGTCACCCTTCAGCCTTGGTCCAGGGGAAATGAAGAGATCCAAAGGCACTTCAGGACTTTGTTCTCCCCACTAGGACCCCTTGGGCTTCAAAATTAGGCAGGTCTCCTTTCTTCCATTTAATTCTCACTTTCTTAGTGTCTTCATTTTGGCTGTATATGTCTTAAACTTTGGGCTGGATTACAGAAAACTATTATTTCTCACATACTTTTTTTTTTTTTTTTTTTTTTCTCATTGAAGGCATCCCAGGACCTTTTATTTGAAGGGAAATATTTTGGCAATTGTTGATGGTAGAGATTTGCCTATGAGAAATATATTATGATACAGGATAATTTTATACAATACCAGAATAGGTAAACTATTTGAATTAAAGGGCCATCTTGTTGGCTGCTGGTCACAAAAATGAGATAAGACAAAATGGAGGAAGCTTATGAGTAGGTTTTAACTCCCAAACTTTTTCCTGTTTTTCATGTCCTCAATCACTTTATTCTTGATTTTCCTTGAGTGGAAATGCTGAAAAACCAGTCCCCTATTATATCACAAATCTTCCTAGGAGATTTTGAATTGTTCTCTCCTTTCAAATTTCATTGTGGCATGAGCCTCTTTTTATCCAATGGAAAGGAGGACCAGGTAATAGCTCACAACTTCCCCCACTCATCTCTCTATAAATAACCTTATCAATGCTTGGACTGTTCAGAAATTTGAAATTTGAAATGCTCTTCGACAAATACTATACATTAGTGATACCCAGAGAGCTTTCAAAATTTCCAGTTCCTAGCCTATACTCCTGGGTGATTAAATGGGAATTTCTGAAGGTGGAAACCAGGTACCTGTAGTTCTTAAAACTCCCTGCAAATTCCATAATACTAATGTGCAGCCCACATTGACAATTGCTGTTTAAGTCAGTGCTTTTCAAACTTGAATGTTCATGTACATTGCCTGGGTGCCTTGTTAAAATGCAGATTCTGATTCAATTCATCTGAGGTAGCTCTATTGAGATTAAAGGTGATGTTGACGCTGCCAGTCCACTTGACACACTTTAAGTGGCAAAGTTCTCATAGAAGCTAAGTCAGCCCTTGTCTTCCCTGATTCTCCTGGACAAAAGACAATGTATGTCCATCTGAAGACCAGATGTGCTCAGTAGCTGACAGTGGTATAGGCAGTAGTAAAGCAAGAACTCAGCTCCAACATCCTGGAGCTTCCTGTGACCCCAGGGCCTCAATAGGTCACATAGATGAACAGGGTAGAGCTGATTTGAAAAGGGATTTCCATAGGCAGGACAGGTAAGTGCCCACCCTCCCTTATGATTCTCCCAAGATCCAGGATTAGGTATGTGCAGGATGAGGATTTCAGGAAAAGGGTATTCTTGACATTTTAAGACAAGAAGACTGTGATGTGTTTACTGAAAAAACAAGCCCCTTTGACAGTGGACCAGATTTGAGGACTCAGTAACTTTTTTAAATCAATGTTTCACAAAAGCAGACACAGATTTTTCCTGGGGGAGCAACAAGAAAGAGCATGGGGGGGTAGGTCATGTTTGAGCAGAATGAGAAAAATTCGGCCGAACAGCAGGACTTCAGGTGAACTGGCTCAGACATTTCCCTGGAGGAGCAATTGGGCATCCCAGCATCCCTTGCAGTGAGCAGTCTAATGAATAATAATAAAAAATAAAGTGCCCTTTATGCTATTTACAGAAGTAAGCCAATGCTTAATTTAAAACAAAATGCATAACTATTCGCCCGAGACAGCTTTTATATCATTGTTTAACCTACTGCCTGTAGCAGACCTCCGAAAAACAAATGAAGTTCATCTTTCTCTGCTTTCACAAGTGCTTCCTGAAGTAGTTGATCAGGTAAGATGGCTCAGTCTGATATACAAGAATGAGTCCTGATTTTGAAGCCAACGCAGATCTGGGTATGAACTGTGGCTCTGGTTCTTCTTCACTGTGCGACCTCAGGCAACTTCCTTTAACCTCTTTAAGTCTTTTATTGGACATCTGGAGAATGGGTTCTTATGAGGATTAAAGATGAGCTATTCACAATACCAGGATCACAGCAAGACTTAGGTCTTGACACTTTTATGGGGGAGAAAGGGAGGTTGAAGTCCAAGTAGCAAAAATCTTGAAGCCTGGGACAATACCAAGCAGTGTGACTTGGGACTGAGACCACTTTCTAGGCTGAGGGTGGTGGCAAAGAGAAGTTACCTCAGGAACAGTACAGAGTGGGGTTTCCAAGGAAACCAGAGCATGCTAACTCCTCCTCCGCATTTCCCCAGAGCAGGAAGATGCTAGTTCCCTCTTTTGCAGACCCAGCTCCTATAGGCTGTTTTGCAAGGTCCTCTGGGTTTTCTATAATCTGCTTCTCAACAGATGAGTCGTACAATGTAATTATGTCTGTGAATTTGCACTTCCTTATTTCCAGGTTGAATAGTTCATACTTGAGAACTTGTAGAAAAAGCAGTAACCTTGGGTTTATCCTTCTTCTAGGGAGGGCACTTTTTCAGCTGGAAAGTCTCACAATTAAGACTATGAGAGTTTTGATCATTCAGTTCAAACTTTGAACTGTGGCTTATTTTAAACATGATGTATCATTAGTTTTCAGATTGCACCTAATTATTTTACAAGTTTAAGGAATGCTACTCTCTGAAAAGAAATTAAAAACATTGTCTATGCAATTTTAGCTTCAGAGTAAATGTCTGTTTTTATAGAACCTGAATTTAGAAAAAAATAAATAAAAGGGCTGATTGTTATAGAATTTTCAACATATTCCTCAAGATTTACAGCTAATATGTGGTTGAGCCAGAAATCAAAACCAAATCTGTCTGTCTGTATACACTAACTAATGCTGTGGTTAAAGATGACCCCAAAATGTTAATGGCTCACACAACAAAGCCTTTCTCACTCACTTTAATACCCACTGCAGGTTGGCTATGGCTCAGCTTCACATCCATTCTGTACCCCAGATAAGAGCCCTTGCTTGACTTGTGACAGAGGATACAGGATGGAGCCATGCAATTCTCTGGTTTCACAGACAATCTTCGACCAGAGCAAGTGTCATGGCCAAGACTGCTTTACTATGGGGACTGGGGAGGAAAAGATGGTGGAGTACAGTTCTCCCACGGGCAAGGCAGAAAATACCAGGGACAGATAATGCAACC